AATAATTTAAGTATTTCAAAATAAAATTTAGAAATATTTCATATACATATTATACATTATATTATACAAAATAGTTTATTACCGCCAAGATAAACAAGCGATTAATCTCACACACACGCACAAATACACAAATATTAAATTAAATAATCATAAATTGCTTACTCTATGATTGCTCCACCGTTTCTCGTTCCAGCTTCCTTCTCTTCTCTTGTTCGTCTTTGCTTTTCCTTCATGGCACTCACTCGCGAAAACATTGTTAATTACGATCGCGCAGTAAAATACGATAATCGCACGATACTTTGCACGGCACTCTCAATGTTAATCGCACGCGACACGTATTTATGTGTATTACGACGGGAAAATAACGTGAAAGCGATCGCATATACCTACGATTTATTCGACACTGAAAATTACAGAGCTAACTTAATAAGTCACTTGTCGCGGCGATGTTATCACTGTTGCTAACGAATAAACTCGCATTTTATCATCTCGCATTATAACATAAATAAATAAATCTACAAGTTAAAATTGAAGATAAATATCCGCAAAATGTAATATCCGAAAATATTTCGTCCTTTATCCTGTATCGTAAATTTTGATCCAATAAGTACACGAAACATGTACTTTAATAGACTACATATGAACAAAAATTTTATTTTTGCTACGTAGTTTTGACAATGATTAAAATACATCGTTAAATATAGTCGTATAAATTGATTAACTATAAATACATTACGAAACTATTCCAGTAAAGTCCTTCTGCATTGGCAACGTTTTGACCAAAAAATTTGAAAATAACATCTACTGCTTTATACTGATATAGCGCGATACTAATTGAGTTGATAATAATTAATTAATCGCGCAGATAGCCGCTAATTGTTATAATCGTAACAAATAATCGCGTTTGGAATCTTCTAGTACTTGCCACGACCGCGTTCCGGTAATACAATGACGCACACGCACAGAGTTATTGTTTACATTCGGCGCGGCGACCTTCGCGTAGAGAAAAAGAGAGGGATAGAGAGAGAGAGAGAGATCCGAATACACAAATGCACAGCTCTCTGTTTATTCTTTCCCGGAACGCAGTCGCGACAAGTACTAAAAGATATCGACGCGACGATTTACTATTATAATCAGCGATCGTCTTTAATCTTTTACTTTTACTATTACTCTCTCTTTTCTTAATTAACCTTCGTGTTCAAAGGATTAGCGATAGGTATCGAGAATTCGAGTATTGCGAATGAAAAGTTTTATTTCGATTATTGAGAGAGAATGTGCCCGTTAATCGTGTACTGTTCGAGATTTCGCGTACAAATGATTGATGAATTTTCGCAAAACGATCAGATATGATCGTTCGCAGAATGAACTGGCTATATTATATTGGAATCAGCTGATTGATCGTAACATTATCGTATTGATATTCGGCGCGGAGACGAACGGGAAAACCAGTCTCGCTCTAAATATAAACATACTGATGTTTGGGTGTTTATGTGTAATAAAATTAAAGACGAGATTCGAGAAGCTAACACAATATTTCTTCGAAATAAATAATCGATTTTCCAAATACTTCGTTAACTCGACGTAATATATATAGGGTGTCCCAAAGCACCCTTGATAACGCTCGTGAGCAAGTAGAGCACAGTAAACTGAACAGAAAAGTCCTGTAACATTTTTTTTTATAACGCTTAATAAAGGAGTTATTATTGAATAATGTCTGGCCAATCAGCGTCGACCTTTAGCCGCGCGCCTCGTAGTGTGCGTGAGCGTTCCGTCGCTACGGCGACGCACACTAACAGACGGGCGGCTCACTGACGTGCGTCCGGCTAAAAGTCGGCGCTGATTGACCAGACTTTATTCAATAATAACTCCTTTATTAAGCGTTATAGAAAAAAATGGTACAGGACTTTTCTGTTCAGTTTACTGTGCTCTACTTGCTCACGAGCGTTGTCAAGGGTGCTTTGGGACACCCTGTATATATATATATATATATAACGCAATATCAGAATAAAGATATCAATGTATGTATTTTTTCGAATTCCTCGGTCATTATCAACGTTGCCGGTAACAGCAAACGAATAGAGTTTTGCAATATGTATAAATAGTTAACATGATTATATTTAACGATGTATTTTATGTGCGAAAGCTGTGTAGTTTATATGGTTGAGTCAATCGAAATCTATCGCGAGTAGTAGTTGGCAAAACACGACGCAATATTTCCGGATATTATCATACATTCCGCAAATGTTTATACTTTCAATTTCAATTTGTAAATTTCATTTATTTATATTATAAATATGTGGGATTGTATAATTACTCTAAAATATGCGTGCGAGCTTACTTACGTTGTGGCATCAGCGATAGAGGACGAGAGGCCCCGACGAGTCGCGCGTGAAGTTAGCTCCGCGGTGTCGCGCCGATCGTAGGTCAGGTTAATGCAATCACTTTCCCGCTTTATTTCCCCGCCATAATGCGGTACATACGTGTCGCGTATAATTAACATCGGGAATGCCGTACAATGTCGCGCGATTGTCGTATTTTACTGATTAATACGTAATAATCGTAATTAACAGTGTTATCGCGAGTGAGTGATAAGAAGAAGCAGCAAAGAACGAACAAGAGAGGAGGAAGAGACCCGGGAATGTATCAGGCAACGGCGAAGCAACGGACTCACCGTGGGGTGAGTAATTTATAAATTAATTTCATATATGTATATTTGTTACTTGTAGGATTTTAAAAAATTGCTTGTTAATTTTTTTTCGTGATAATAAACCATTTATATTATATTATAATATACGCTTCACACACACACATACATATGCGCGCGCGCACATTTTGTAAATATAATTTATGTATAAAATCAATATATATATATATAT